TTTTATCATCATTTTGTTTAGCTTGGATTTTTTGTGCTATTCACTTCTAGATTGCTTCAAGAACTCTTTCGATGGTTTTCAAGTTTATGAAAACGTCCAAAGTCCGGATGTAACAAGGTTTTCTTCGGCCAGCCAACGAATCTCTCAAAACATCTTGACCGTTGATCTTCGTAGGCAGTCGCTGGCAGAACAATGTGAAACAACTCAACTAGATCATGGTGATGGTGTAAAAGAGCATGATAGAAATGACTTTGCACAAAATCAACGAATCATTTCTATAAATGAAGAAGCAAATGACAATGTTATTGATATTCATGATTCTAATGCTTCCAAACAGGCAGCTGGTGTGGATGTTTGGACTGGTAAACTTTCTAAAGGTGAAAGGGATTTAGATAGCAGGAAATCATGTAACACAGATCCTTTAGATAGAATGTACGATGCAGATATTCATAATGTTAATAGCTCGCATGATGATAAGGACAATCATCTAAAATCAACTCACTGCAATGTGGAATTATCTTCCAGTGATAGCGTAAAAATAGACGATGATGTTTATAAATATGTAATCATTGAAACGTTATCAGTTTCTTCAAGAACGTGCTACTCTTCGACAGAAAATGACTTCAATTTGCTGGAGAACCGTGCTTCACAAAAGAAAACTAAATGCAGAGTAACAAACATGTCACGTATTAATTCAACAGAAGAAAACAAAGATGACTCTTGTAGTTAGAACAAAACAAAGGAACTTTTAAAACGTGAGACCAATCAGCTTGAAATTATTGCAGTAAAACCCGTGAATAAGCTATCAAAGTAAAACTTTAAATTGAAAACAAATAATCAGGAATTTCATAGAATATTCACAACCTTGTTTTTATTTAGAAATGAAAAAAGTCTCCGATTTCTCTCGATGGAAGTTTGAAGTTAACACAGGCCCGAAATTGGGTCTTTTTTGTACTGCATATGGTTTGAATGTGACTCAAAACAGGTATAATGATTTGTAGCTACTGTCATCTGTACTTAATACAAAATATCTTTTGATTTGACGAATTTGGGGCTTGCATTTAGGTTTCTATACAACTACGGTGCAAAATAATATCACGTCTTTGGGGATTGCTATTTGGCTACAGACTTTAATAAACGAAGTCAGAAATAACAGAAGCAGTGTCTTTAAGAGAGTTTTCAAAATCAGTTTTATTGCCATTAACGCTTAGGTGCAACTCTTTCCAAACGTAGTCCAAGATCCTGAATGTTCCGTAGAAGGTTGCGTTTATGAACTAACGTCAGAATATCTACCGCTTTTGAATATATGTATTGCTTCTCCAAAGGTAAACCAACCACTTTTAAATTTTCCCTTGACACTTAATTTGTTAGTCCTCCGTCTTCTTTCAATCAGCCTAACGAAATTTTTTTTGCAATAATAACAGGGAATCAGCATTTACATCTGTGCAGACAATATATCTAATACAAAAGTTGAAAATTCAACCATATGCTGTCCAATTTGAACAATCAAATAAGCAAATATAATGTATAAATCTATATCAATAATTATGCTTCTCTAGCATTACAAGAGACTGGTTCTACCTGTTTGGATGTGTAAAAATCCTGCACGATTTGAGCATGGTATATGTCAACAATGTGTTGCTGCAGTTGTTTATGTTGCTCAAGAAAATATATCTCGCCAGGTGAGTGAAGCTTTCGTTTCCTCTTACATACCAAAAGCTATTTTCTTTTCATGATTTCATTCCCAACTTGCAATATGATTTTGCATGCAAAACTCATTGAAAATTCAAACAATGCCACACAAACTCGGGTTTTATGAAAGCCAATAAAACCAAGCACAAATAAACTTATCATAGGAAGACATGATGGAAGGCGTTTTTACCGAAATTCAATTTCTTTTCCTAGATTTTGTGCAACTAGATACTTCATTTACCTTGAAGTAGTACTTTATAAGAACTGATTTACTTACTCCGAACTAAGTTGAATATTTAAAAAGTTTCAGTATAAATCACGCTTTCGCCCTTTGAGAATACTTTTTAAGTAACCAACATGAGCGCAAGTCAACACGTAATGCTGTTCATCTTACAGCAGAACAAAGTCAACGCGCCATAAATTGATCTATTGGGCTCATCATCTCGACTTACCATAACATTGTTGGATAGCTGTTGCATTTCTATTTTCTTACGTGGGTCAACATAACGTAATTCGATGTAATCTGAAGCTTTCTATTCAAATTTGTCATCGATTTCTTGCTTTAAAAGATCCTCAGTCTTTGATTCGTCAACTTCAAGATACATGTGACGATAATTCAACTCATAAGTAGGACGTGCTGTACCATACTTGCCACAAAGCCAACGAAAACTGCAAATGTGGAAAAGTGAAGATATTCGATGCCTTTTCCTCGTGGCAAATAAGTCAAAATTGACGTAAAAGCGATAAAAAAGATTTACCTTTTCAAATTTTCATGGACGCTCTGTTTAATTTTGTGATCCTTTGTGAGAAAACGTTTTTTAAATTCGACTGTGTTGGGAGTGGAAGGTTCATCTACAAAATATTACACAAAATGAATGTCACTGGACTTAGAATCTCCTAAAACACAAATATCAAATTTACCAGTTTAAAGGAAGAATATTTAAAGCCACCCACAACAAAGCAACAATGGTTACACATTGCTGATGAATTTATATGCAAATGGCCTTTTCCCCATGCAGTTGGGGCCATTGATGGTAAACATATCAATTTGCATGCACCTCCAAACTCAGCCCCTGAGTACTTTAACTATAAAAAACATTTTAGCATAGTCCTCTTGGCTATTGCAGATGCAAATGCTAAATTCATCTCATTTGATCTTGGAGCCCCTGGCAACCAGTCAGATGGAGGAATTTTTAAAGACAGTCACCTTAAAAACATATGCAAGACATGCTATTTCCCACAAGCTGAAGAACTAAGAGATACATTATTGCCTATACTTTACTTTCTGCTTGGAGATGAGGCATTTGCTTTGAATGAAAATCTAATGAAACCATATCCACACCAGAGTGCAATAGGTGATGAGAAAGTTTTTAACTATAGCTTTCACGAGCACGAAGAATTGTTGAAAATGCATTTGGATTGATGTGTAGTCGATTCAGATGTCTTTTGAGAACATTGGAGTTGGATGTTTCACATGCAATGCAGGTGGTGAGGGCCTGTATGGCACTGCATAACCTTTTGATAAGTCAGAAGGACCAGTTTTACACACAACCAGGATGTATGGACTTTGAAGATGAATTAGGAAATGTTGTGAATGGTTCTTGGAGAACACAATTAGGCAATGAAAATGAAGTATGTGACATCCAGCCATATGCTGGTGCCCGCCCATCATCAATTCATGCAAGACAAATCAAAAATGCTCTTAAAGACTATTTCTTTGAAGAAGGGGCAGTTGATTTTCAATGGACAATGACAAACTAAAGAATTATAACCAAGAAATAAATTTACCTTGTTTGAATATAAAAAATATATGAAAACTTGTTTTGATGGTTGATGTTGCCCTTTATATATATATAAATCCAGTAAAGTAGACTCAAAAACAAATGTGTAAGTTATTTTGATGTAGAAGTTTAATCATTGAAACATGTTCATTTAAAATACCCTAGTTTAATAAAACGTGGTTGAAACTGATTATTTATTGATTAATCTGCTTGATTAAATGGTTGTTATTGAGCCCGTGGGGGCTCTGTGGCCTGAAAAATAGTCGATTGTATGGCAAACTTGATATGTCTTTGTATATCTTTATCTGCCAGACCACGCATTGCATGTGCCACATCTTTACCAAAAATATCCCACTGGTCTTTAGGAGCAGATGTTGCTGATTTTGCCAACTGGTTCAAGGCAGATGTTTCTGACTCAAGAAATGGACTATGTGATTGTTTTCTATTCTTTGAGCTTGAAATAAAACTACATTCACTTCCTGTATCTTCATTATCAATAATTGAATCATTTAATTGGTTTTCTCTGTCTTGTGCAAAACGTTCATCAATAGCATTTGTAAATACTTGACGATTGTGTGATATAACTTCATCCGAGAAACTGTACTGGTCAAAAAACTTCCATTTTGATACATAAACTTCACTAGCCCCACTGCCTGTACCTTGGCTTTTTCTTATTTTTCCAACTTCTTCTCTATAAAATGTTCTTAAGCTCTGTATCTTTGCTAAAAGTTTAAGCCAGAAATTTTATTAGAATAGACTTATTTGAATCCAAATAATAGCATATAAAGCTACAGATGGATATGTTTTCCTTTACCAATTTTGGCATGCCAACAAGCTGAGTTAGAAGTTTGAACACATTGCCATGTAAGCAGGACAAGATATTTTTTCCAGGGTGTCAATTGTGTATTGTCAATTGTGGGTGTCAATTGTGTATTGTCATTGTGAAATAGTGTGAAGTGTAATGTTTTTAGTTGATCGTTTGTTTGTATTGTGAATAAGTCGTTTGTAAAGTGCCGTTAATTGCTGTGATCTGTTCAGGGGCGTTTCTTCCAAGTTGCTATACCAACTTTCTAATGTAAGTATTAGAAAGGAATATCACATCACCGAATCACAAAGCACAACATTGACTGGGACTCGGCAAAATGCATTACTTAAAGTGCTGACTATAGACAACGGCTTACATTAGAAAGTTGGTATACCAACTTGGAACAAACCCCCCTGAACAGATCACAGCAATTACCGGCCCTTTACAAACGACTTATTCACAATACAAACAAACGAACAACTAAAAACATTTCACTTCACACTAATTCATAATGACAATACACATTTCCTGTACACACAATACAATGACGTAAGAACCAGATAACAAATACGGCTAACCTGACGTTTACTCCTCATTTGACTCTGAAGATGACTACCGCTAAGGTTGTCGAAACGTCAGTCATCAACAACAAAAACAGTCCTTCTCAGGACTTTGTTAACCTGGACGATCTACATTTACAAACATGTAACGATACACCCGGGTTCAAACCATTTACTTTAATGTAATTGATCATAAGTATTTCCAAAGAATCAGTTATGTCCTGCTAATCTAATTACAAATAAATAGTTTCAAATTTTAAAATAATCCAAAAGTGAGGTGTTGTGATTTACTGCCCAATACTGGATTCAACATTGTGGTGGAATCGTGAATTCTAAATGAGTCATACAGCAATCAGACAGCAATCAAAAACTTGCGAAAATCAGACAGCAATCGAAAATTTGCTTTTCTAGGAGCTTTACGTGGCAAATCAATGTATTTCGAAGCTTCCCATCCAAATTTTCCATCAATCTCTTGCTTTATAATTTCATTCGATTTTTCTTGACTATCATCAACCATAACATATAAGTGAGGAAATGGCATCTTCTCGTTTGGGCCAGCTGTTCCATACTCTCCATGAAGCCACGTGAAGCTTAAATCAAATATTTAAGCTCATATCAAGATAAAAATTCGTTTTTGTAATACTGAAAATTCAAGTTGAATTTCTCCAAGAACTACATTTAGAGTATTTCACCTTTCAAGTACATCACACACATCAGGTTTAATGTTACTGTGTTCGTCAAGAAATTTACTTTTGAAGATTTTAAAGTGTTCATCCAAATTATCATCTGCATTTAAACACATAATAAAGAAAATAAACGTGTATATCACATGTTACACTACACAGCTTTTGTAAAATATGAATAAAAAGTCGGTCCACAAACGGATAAAAGACGAAAAATGTCGGTCTCACTAAAATTTTGAGATATTTGATCCAATAAAGACACAATAAAGTTGGTCCCATGACGTAGAACACTCCCCCTCAAACCTTTCAGCGAGCCATAATTTATTTAGAATTTGCATTTACGTAGCCATTTATTGTATGTTATTCGGTCTTGCAAATATTACATGCATGGTTATGCTAATACCGTGTGTTTGCAAAGGGAGTTGAACCAGTGAGTTGAACTACCTTACTTTGTGGTTTGTAATATTTTGGGTGGAAAATAACAACGTGGGTTTTATTGAAAGTTTTTCCGTAAAACTAATAATTTACTCTTTCATAACACATCATAAATATCTCTTGAAAGAGTTATTTGTCCCAAAAAAATTTAAAGGAAACCACCTAAACGCTAAATGAAACCATGTATTCGTAAACATAATTATTGGCTTTTATTGACTATCAATAATCAAATAATATGTTTTAAAAGGATGTTTTTAACAATATTCTATTTAAATTCATTTGTGTACGTGTAACGTATACATGTAACTGACACGTTGATCATGATGGTTTTCATAATTTACTTTTAGCATTATAGCCAGTTTTCACTATCTATACATACTGATCAAATTTCTATGTTTACAAAGTTTAAAATTTTCACATGATTATGATCCACAACACTTGCATTATTTTTGAATTAAAAGATTTTAGTTGGCTACATATAACGACATGTTTTAAAATTAATTTATCAGGTTATAAATTATTGTTTGTATTTAGCGTTGAAAAACATGGAAATGTTTGGGCAGCAAATGTTTGGTAAAAAAATTCTTTTGCTTACCAGGTTTTGATGTGGAAGGCAAAACACCAATGATGACTTCACTGTCCATAAGTTTCAATGCTTCCAAAGCATCTTTTAATCTCAAGCAAATGTAGAACGTCTCCCCTTTTCCGTTTTGGTCTTTCTCGCTCAATTCAGCAACAACATATGCAAAAGGTCGTTTTTGGTTGTCTTCATCATCACAAAAATACACAAGAGATCCCGAATCTCCATCCATTAGAAACTCAACATCACTTTTTACCAACACTGCGTTACAAAATACGGGTCTTCCGTCGTCGTCATCAAAATTAAACATTAGATCCTCAATGTTTCCAAAAATTTCTTGAGCTTTTTGAACAATGCTTTTTTCACCACGATGCTGTCTAAGATAAAGCCTCGAAAACACGTCATGAGAATAGTTCTCCATTTCATCTGAAGTCTTTTCCATTTTAACTTCATCAACTTTGATGGCCATGATATCAGTTTCAGGTCCAAAATCAAAATGCGAAAAATTACCAACCACTTCGTCATCATCTGAGAGATAATACTTATTTTCTTCCATAAATCGCTGAGTGGCATTTCTGTTTATTTTAATTTCATCTTGAATTGCCAAAAACGGGTTAACGTCATCGTTCCGTATCCGGCCAATTTCATAACCAACGTGGAAACAGCTCAACGCGTATTGTTTTCCATCTTTCATGCGGAACATTGTCAACGTGCCACTGGATCGCATGTAAGGAATATCATCACGTTCCACTTCGAGTCGCTTGTTGGATAGAGGTCGAACCTTCCACACCTTTGACGGGTCATTTGGTCGGAATTCGATGTACTTTGAAGCTTGCCAACCAAGTTTCTCGTTGATTTCTTGTTTCATATCGTGATCAGTTATTCCGTTAACGTAATCAACGACCATGTACAAGTGAAGATATGGCATCTGGTCAGTTGGACCCGCTGTTCCACATTGTCCACAAAACCAATCAAAGCTGCAAATGTGGAAAAATCACTGAAAGATTAAACAATAAAGCAGAAAAATACCTTCGCGTGGATAAAACTCAACTGGTATTGAAGGAATATAAAAAAAAAAACACAAATAGTGAGATTTACCTTTTTAATTTCTCATACACGTCATTGCTCATTTTGAAATCGTCGGTGAGAAAATATTTTTTGAAGAATTGAAAGTGATCGGTACCTACATATCCTCAGATAGTTGCATAAAATTAATATCAACGGTTAAACATGCAATCCATGGTAAATAAAGTGTAGATTTTACCTGTAATTTCCGATGTCAACCGAGCACCAGTTGATGTGACTGGATTCTTTCCTATCAATAAAAATTTACATAATTTTTAGTTGTTCTGAGTGTGCACTGTTTTCAAGTCTAAGATAATGATAAAGAAATAATCATTAAATACCATTAACATTTGACGAGAGTTTCATGTTTTTTACTTTTTCTGACGGTGGCTGTTGATGAACACGGGAAATCGAATCTGGTCCTTAAAGAATCAAACACTTATTAATTAGAATGTAATAGTAATGCATAAAATTCAACAATGAGAGAACATTTCATTTAAGAATTCGTGCATTGACAAGAAACATTGTAAAACAGAAAAATAAGGCGTTGCTTATCGACATCAACCCCTTTATTATTTTCATGATATTCACTTGTCCTTTTTTTCTCTCGACAGCTTATAACAATAAGTGAATGTCCTATGCAAAAGATAGTCTTTATTTATTTCAATACTTATGCTATACGTAAAATATATTTAGGGCTGTAAAGCTGTTGCTCCTAACCAATGTCTTTTTTTAAACATCTACGATTGTGGATCAATTTTTTGGATGTAAAATATTCACTCGAACATCAAAAATTCAATGATTCAAACTAATACCTTGTCGACGTTTATAATTAATGCGTCGATATTTCATTGTCACTTTAGAGTCTTCTGAAATATTACACAAAAACAAAAAATATTAAAGGCTAGCGTTACTTTATAGAAAACGAAACTTTCTTCATTGATATACAGCAAGCCTTTCTAGCTGCAAAATGTTCACACAAGACAAAGAAGTAATAACTCAAAACATCTTACTTTTGTTAGCTGCACCTCCTTCATCATCGTCGGTTTTAGCACTGTTGGATACACTAAGACCATTGTCTCGAAGTATAAAAAATCGACCATTCTGAAAACCAAGAGCTTTTAAGCCGTGGTTCAACTTCAGACAGATGTAACTTTTTTCTGAACCGCTGTCACCATCATCACATACTTCGCAAACTCCATAAGCAAACGGTTGCCAATTTTCTTTTTCATCCAAAAACCAAACAAGAGTACCAGAATCACCGGAATCAAGAAATGTTTGACAACTTTTTATCTTGATAGCATTCTGGAAAATGCGACGTGTGGAATTTTTACACCAATACTCATAATTCAATTCACTGATGAAGCCCTCAACACCAGTGGCTGTGCGGACTTTAACAGCCTCCTTGTTGTCCTCAACCCTGCGTTGAAGTTCTTCATTTGCATCATCCAAGTTCAATACAACATCTTCCATTTCATCACCAATAAGTTTCTTGAAATCTTCTTGCTTGCCAATTATGATAGACATGATGTCTGTTTCACTATCAAACTGAGCAAAGGTGTGCCGATGAGTGGATCCAATTTCTGCTTTACACTCACTCTTAGACGGTGTGTACATATACTTGTTTTCATCGTGTTTATTCAAGGTTTCTACAGCTTTGTTGATTGATACCAGTCGCTCTCCGTCAAGAAATGTTTGCTGGTGGTCAGTGGCACAAGCAACATGTGCGCATGTCAAGGCGGAGTAAACACCATCCTTCAGACAAATCAGTGTTATCGTACCGCGAGATGTTCCACCATTCTGATTTCCATCATGTGGTATTTCGATATTTGAAAGAAGCCGAAAGGGTGCTTCAATGGACGATGGCGACCAAAATTCTCTCGATTTCAATGTTTGGATTCAAAAGGCAATAAAGATTACATTTGTGTAAATATTTGCATATAAAATTCCATTACTTACTAGGTCCTGATGTAGAAGACGTTATACCAATATCAGCATCACTGCCATTATCATTTAGTAGATATAGCAAAGATTTCTTTTCTTCAGAAGCTGAAGCAATATAAATATGAAACATTTAAGAATGATAATATTATTAAAAAGTATTGCAACAAATGTAAGCTTTTATTTCTACAGGATTGTTAAATATTTTATATTTTCTTATTTTTATGGAATTACTCTGATAAAAACCGCATTTGAAAGGGGCGTTCACCAGATGGAAACGGGTAATTGAGGCTAGGCGTGTATTAGAGGAATACGGTAACCCTTCTTATTAGAATAATCGACTTTTATTTACTGTTACAAAGTGGATTCTCGTCAATTTAAATCATTTTACCAATTCCTAAAATAATATATGCTAAGTCGTAGACAAGAGTTATATTTTGAGAGTGATTAACTTCCAGTGAGCATTAGTTTGTTGTAACTTTATTTACCGTCAAGATCAAGATTGTCCATGACTTCTTTGCTTTTCTTTCCACTAACTTCTTCAATTTTCACATGATCCACAGTATCTGAAAAATGTTCACAACGGTATTGTCACTATTATGTACAGCTTAAACAGTAGAGAGTCGAGAGAGAAAAACATTATAGAGTGTTAAAACACACACTGAATAAAAATACAACCAAAAAAGAGAGAGTTGGTCGAGTAAAAAAAAAAATTATTTTATAGCCAAATTTGTTAATTTACCGAAAAAGATTGAGTGAGCATCAAAATTAAATCGGGGATATTTATATCATCATGGAAGCCTAATTCAGTAATGTCTTTGAAAAAGGAAAATTATGTTTATGGCTTACAAGTAAATGCTTCTTGAGAACAGGTCTTGTTTTCCAGTCAGTTGACCTTATGATTTTATGCACACGAAGAGAAAGATCGGGAAAATGTTGCAAAAAGTACTTTTTATAGTTTCCTTCTTTGACATATGGCGATAGATGTGGACGGGGGTTATCCTTCCAATGCTGGCCAACGTTTCATATTTTCACTAAGACTCTAAAGTTAAACTAGAGTATTTTATATATCCTATAATTCTTAAGTCAATATTTATTGATAAAACTTACTTTTTAAATTTGTCTTCGTTGTAAAACGTCTTCCTGCCAAATGATGTAACTTAGCGAGTGTCGGGAATTATGAACAAACGTTTGCAGGTAAATCCATGACGACGGTCGTCTACCAATGAAATTCCCTGAAATAGAAACATTTAATAAATTGCCATGTTTATTTAGAAATTTCAATCATTAGTACTTAAATTGAAAACTGACACGCAGTTTTCTCTCTTTATGTCAGTCTTAAAAAATCGATGCGTCATATATGACAGTTTCAAAAACAACTCGATCAAATTTTAGACATGTTTCAACAACATATGAAAACAGTATCTGAAGACGTCTATCTTTGTGAAAAGCAGTCTTTAGCAGATAGATAAGGAATCAGTCGTCACATAAGAACTAAGAACCTGTGGAGAGAAAAGTGCAGCATTTTAACAAAAAGGCGCTGTTATAGCAGGTGCTATTTGTGACGCTGCCTGTTTTGAAAAACCATTATTAGAACAGCTGTTACAAAAACGTAATTTACGCTGCTATGAATTTAATTTTGTTTATGATGGTTCAGGTCGAGTATTGTCAAGACAGGCAAAAATCGAAGAACGAGGCAGTGAGAAAAGATAGATCCACTGGGGAGATCACATATAAAAAAGTCTCCAAAACAAAACGCTCACGATACAAGTCGCAAGTTACTTGCAATTTCTGAAATAATCACTAGAATCGTTGTCAAATCTAGAAAGAATGTACTGTAATGTTCACTGTAGATATGATACAATGCCTCATGCAACATGAAAAATGTAACATGTAACAGCATTTTAAGTAAGACGAAGATTTGGAGATGACATTTATAAAGCCTGCATGAATGCAAAGTTAAGTTTAATCAAAGGAAATAACACAGTTTCTGGAAACGTTGAATGATAACATTTCCTTGCAATATATGCTGTATTATTGCAATCAAGATTGGCAATCAATCTCTTTCAATTACAGGCAATGGGTTCAAAATAAACATTAATAAGCAATATTAATCGATCATTTCAAATAAGCACAAACCTTCATTTTCCACAACTGAAAAAAATAAGAGATCATGACAGATAACCAAATCCTGTTGCAATTACTGGAGGAATGTCTTCGTGACCTTAAAATGAACGACGATAGTTGCTTTGATCTGCGTAGATGCACTTTTGTGAGACGAATCTATAATAGCAACTGTTCATTAGAGTAACTTTAATCTTCTCAACCAAACAAGCACCAACAAACAATTGTCAATAACCAACAATTTACACATAAATTAATTCACCTTTCCTTGAGCTTCAAAGAAATAATCACAAACAGAGCGACTTAAAACACTTCTCCAATCTTTTTTTCCAGAAATATATCTCTAAATATACGTGGAAGACATCAGATGATCCAGAAAAACCGTTTAGTGTACGGTAATGTTGTGATAACCAAATAACAGTGGAGCATAAGAATTTTTGTTTAAAACGCCTTAACTTTTGTAAACATACTTACGACTACCCTATACAACTCGCTTTAATAATTTTCTCCAGCATGAAATAGAAAGATGTACATGTTCTTAACATATTCAACTTTTATGACGAAGTATATAACAAACATTACATTTATTTGCAAGATGCTCTATGACTATAATTAATACAACATTTCCCTAATTGCTTTTCATGCATTCACGTCCTTCCTTTACATACATATATGATCGAATTTAAGTTTCGCAGTAATCCATACTTCAGTGACTATATATGCAAGTAATCCTTGATATGACTTTATGAACCAATTTCTTGGTCGTTGCTCAAACTAACAATTAGAAAGTGGCACATGATTAGTTAAAAATTTGTTATACTTCATTTTCCATCAAGATTACGACTGTCAATAATATCTTCACTTTTCTTTCCATTGACTTCCTTCAATTTTCACAGGATTTATGTTTCCTAAAAACGTTTGCAACGGGAAAATATAGAACTTAATTTTATTTAACGTTGAGAAGGTTGGAAACATTTATACAATACTTAAAACATACATCTTGAAGAGTAGAAAAAAAGTTCAATGTGACAGAGAAGTATGTTAGTATGCATAGAACTCTAACATGTCTAAGTCGTAAAAATGGGGTATTATTTGAATAGCTTACAGATAAAATGTTTTAGCATTTTAGGTCTTGTTTTCCAGTTAGTCGTTCTAATAATTTTGTGCACTAGAAAAAGAAGTTCGGGAAAACGTTGAATGAAATAATCTTTATAGTTGCCTTCTTTGATATATGGCGATAGACGTGGACGAGGTTTATCATGCCAGTGATGATCAACGTTAGTTATGAATCGCAAACAACTTGCCCACGAAGACTGGTATGTTACAGTCCTTTCTTTGTTTTTTTACTTCAAATGTTTTAAAATCTTTCAAAACTTCATCATCGATAGGTTTCATCCATGTTGTACGATAATTCAACTACTCACGAACATCTGAATTGTGATATTGTGGTTGTTTTATCTCTGGTTGGTTCCCAACATCACACAGCATGTCAAAACTTTCCTCATTGGATTGTAAATAAGGATGTTTTAACGCCTCGTTGGCTGATGGCCTGAGTTCAGGCTTATGCTGTAGCATCCATGAAAGAAGATCTTTAAGTTGAACATCATCGATTTTCTTCAAGCCAACAGGGTTTCCATTTAACAAGTTACTCAATATACTCTCTTTAGTTCCAAAAGCATGTTCCCCTTTTGTTGCAACATAATAAGCCACCATTCCTGCACTCTAATATTAATAAAAAGAAACCATAAATAGTCACAACATCAACTGTAGATACTGAAATGCTAAAAATTTGAGTTTATTCGTTATTTGCAGAACTGAATAATAGCTATATATTTTTTAACGAACATATCTACCATTATATCAGACTCTTTCTTGTAACGACCTTCACGCAAGGATTCAGGATTCAAAAATAGTTATTTGAAATAAGCAAACTACTAAGCCGCTAATGCAATTATCATATATAATTAAATAAATCATGATGAATAATGCGATAATGTACTTAAATAATAAAAGCACATTTGGCGCCCCATAGATGTGTAAGATGTTTAATTAGAGAGCAGACAACCATACACTGTAAGATATCAACAATTCACAAGGTGTACAAAAAAAATTAGAACATTTTTAAAAGACAAGAAAATTATCTTTATATAAAAATTTCTCAAAATGTGTTCACGTCTAAGTATTTTCGCATCGCCTGGTTTATCTAAAAGCAAAAAATTAATCTTGAAAAGCGGGAGAGCAGTGTTTAAACGCTTGCGCAAAGAAAATGAGAAATTAAAAATCTAATTCAACTCGAAAAGTTGAAAGTTTAAATTCTGTTGTGTATTGCACGCAACGTGTATAAAATGAGCGTTCTGGTAAGTTTACCGTCTTATTATTTTTATAGATAAACCAGACAATGCCAAAATACTACGAAATGAGCACTTTTTTGAGAACTTTTGATAAAATACTGTATACATCCTTATTCGCGGTAACCTTCCCCTAATTTGAACAGTCATAAACAAGCACATGATGGGGCAGCAAATACCTATGACTCGACATCTGAATGCAGTTACTAGACCCAATTCAAAGAGAAGAGACGAAGGCTGTATTGGTATATTGTGTAGCTCAATCTTGTCCTTTAGGTTGACTAATGGCTGAAGTGGCTCACTTTAATCTAACATAAAATCTTTGAGCGAGACTAGGTTCTACTGTCAGAACTGCAGCGATCGATGCGTTTTTTAAAAAAAGTATGCAGTGTTGCACGCGGATAGCAGTATTTGATATGAACTGGAGCTCAGGTTTGACAAATAAAGTTTGTTCTTAGGCAAATATTGAACTTGTGATAGGTGCATATAGGGGTTTTATGTTATGTATCCATCACACAGACTACAGAAAGTTTAAGAACGAAGTAGAAATTGACTTAAGAAGGAAAACAATATCAATACTGTCAGATTTAGTAAAGACCGCAAACGAACAAAATTTATGATAAGATCAAATGCGAATTATGGATATCACTTGAATTAGCACGATAAGCGACATTATGAAAACGTACGTCCTTGTATGTGTAGTAAAGCTCATAAACTTCTTTGTACCCATTTAATGCATACAACAAAGGTCCATTTTTAACTCTTCAGAGAGTGAAAACATCTTAGTCTGACATTGAACTAGAATTCGTAGCTTGCACCTAGTACGACCAATCGTTTAGGCTATTAGTTAAATTCGTTCGTCTTGTGCAATGTACTGATTTTTGAACAATACTTGCACTTTGTATATTGCAATGAAGTACAACTAAATTATAAAGGTTTCACGACTTTCTCCATTTTCAATGTTTGTACTAGACTCCCTAAAGCTTCAAAAAATAAAGGTGGAGTATATACTAAACTCTTCGACTTTAACCCCACCCCCAAATTTAAATCTGTTTCTACGCCTATGTATCGATCCTATGTATATCTATGAAACACGAACCATTGGCGTTGTGGCTGGGGTACAGCCAGGGGGGAATACACCACGAATGATTTAAGGGGAGACACCACTACCAGAAGGCATATGGGGGCCGCCAGAACGCATCTTTACAAACTCCTCTAAATTTATTTCAGGAAACAAAATTCAAACAAATAAAACCACTGAACGGCGGAACGGATCAGAAAAAATGGCGGACGGAGATGATCGGAAAATATCCTGAGATGACGAGATTACAAGGAAAAGCATAATCAAGGAGTATATGTTGAATGTTAAAAAGTATATCACTACGTATGGAAGATACAATTTATAAGTGCCTTATACATAAATTTGATAGTATAACTTACTTTCATAGTCGGGGTAATATTCCGTTCCTTCACCTTTAGACTCGTAACGTTCTGTCAATTGAAAAGTTACCAAACGTGTGACAATAAAATTCGACTCTGAAAAAACTTAAAAGATACATCTATAGTTGGTGCATAAAGACATAAAATCTCTAAACGACAATTATCGAGATAAAAAGATGAATAAAGTATATGTATGTTCTATGATAAAATGTTGGAAAATATATCCATATTTTTGCATGTATACCTTACACACAATTTACGTGGGTCTCGCATAAATTTGATTGTATATAACTTACCTTCATCCATGAAGTAACTTTTCATTCGTTGAAGGCAACTCTATAAATTCTGTATTATCCAAGGTAAATACATCGAACTTAGGAAATTCTGCAATCATAAATACATATTTATCAAATCTTCGTCTTTCTCACTCGTTGAAATGAAAAGATTAAAATAGAATTCTTGCACAGTTTTAATATTCAATGATTAAGGCGTTTAAATTACATATACCATCATAACCTTCAACGCCGTACGTCAACAAAGCAACTTTCCGTGATTATTAGCCTTAACATAGATGAAAATTTATAAAAATTAAACATACGCAGGAAGAAAATTTTCAGAAATTGTACTCATCCTTGTTATACGTTACTTGTATCAATGTTTTAAAACATTCAACTGTATGAAGTTAATCGTCAAAAATCTACGATGATCATTTGATGCACGTCAAATAATGGTGTTTTTATTACAAATTATTGTCCAAACAAAAATATTTATCATAATAGTAGCAAAGTAGCTACATCTTAGGGGAGAGCTTATCATTCACAGATTCAAAAAATTATAATTAACCAACAAACAACCAAATCATAAAAAATTTGTCACAGCAACAAGGTAGCTATAACAAGGTATAGAAAAGACTACTATCTTCAAGTTTCATCTTTATAAACTTGATTTAAAACAAATTAAGTGCAATGGTTTACTTTCACCAATTATGATGAAGCTATCACAATCAGGGACACCTTAAAGTCAGTAAGGCAATGGTGTCTTTGTCAATGTGAACGTAATTGGAAGTTACTTTTTTCCGTACAAATCTCTACCAAGAAATTTAAATGCATAAATCAAAACATAATCCGCTTATTGTAATCACAGCAAATGGAACGTTTTATAGTATAACTGTTTAATGTTTGTGATTAACCATTGATTGCAGTTGACTAGATTTAAAAAAAAAACACAGGAGATTTTAAATTTGGACAACCGAATGAAACAAGGCGCTACCATGCAACACCTAATGAGAAGAAGAAACCTTAAGGGTATTGGCATGTAAGATATACAGTATTAGAATTTAGAATAGTCCGTTCATCTAAAATGCAAGAATTCATTGAAAAATGTGATATTACGCGTGTCAATGACACACTTCATTGCATAACTATTTAAGATGCAACTATTTAAAATAACAAGAAAAAGATCTTTGTTCATTCGATACTAGCGATACGGAGAATTTGTCTATTTATATTTTCCTATTATCATTCTGATCGAATTCTTCCTGGTAAAAGTTTAAAATTATTTCTTGTTAACTGTAACTAATAAAAGACTGAAAGATATGTGTTAAAAACAAAAATTGGGGATTTGTACATGGAATTAAAGACTGTTACGCTCAAAAAAACTAAATTGAATTTGTGAAGTCTTTTGTTTTGTATAAAGGTAATAACAAAATGTTAAGAGTCTTTCATTTAGGCATTGGAAGTTCGATTTAATCGCCAAGAGACTGACTTTCTATCTTATAAAAAAATCCAATACAAACTACTGGCGATTGAATCAAACGCCTGACGCGTGAAATGTTCTTAAAATGGTTATTTGGGTATTGAAAGAATTCACAAATGCAATCCAGAATAGCAACGTGTAATTTTTATCTAGTAAAGAACATGTCACAACTATGTTTGTAAAAATTCTCTCACCTTTAAAAGTTCCAACAACCTCCACTTCTTCACCGTTTTTGCTTCCGTCTGACAGCACGAATGCCTTCTTCTGCAGCTCGTTACCTTGAGAGAAATAAATATTTCTTTTACAATGTAGCATTTCAAATTCAAAAGATCACAGCTGGAAAAACAAGCTTTATGGAGATTTCTCTAAGCAGATTTCGTAAATGACTGCATTTCAGTATGCTCACAATCGTAAAGTTGAAATGTTTGAAAAAAGTATTGTCTACAAATAAACAGTTATTACAAATAAACAATAATTCCAATAAATCTTGCGTAAATCTACCTATAGCAAAACACAAATTGTTTATGAATGGACTGTTTCTTAAATTATTCAACTGGAATTTTCTTTATATCATACTGGATGATGGCTTGGGCAGCAAGAAAAAATCCTTACTTTATCGTTTCTGTCACCATTTTGTTGACCTTGCAACTGCTCATGAAAACACATCGGACATTCTGTGAATTTGACAAAATGCATTAACAAAAATAGGTACGCTTGCGTACACGTGGGAAGCCTGTAAAACAGGAGACGCAAAATGATTGAAACAAGTGGAGTTGCAGTCACTTTAACACAGGATAAGAATTTTCTAGTATGCATAAATTTATCAGTTCGCAATTGTTATGAGACCATCCTGCAATTGCAATGAAATATGAGTTATGTTTGATCCCATTTATCTATGCTTCAAGACCTGATAATTAAATTCTGCTTAAACAATATTACTATTTTGAAACATTGAATTCATTGATTGACAACTTGTTTTGTCATGATACTTTGAACTCCTGATAATAACAACAGAACATTATTTGTAGGGGATTGAAAAAAGGTTTGAACTTTTTGTAAATAAGAAATATGATAAAAAGGCAGTGCATGGAGTATCATCACAGACATGATGTCTGCCACTCTCTTGTTTTGCATAGCCTAATTTCTCAGATAAATAAAATTACTCACCTTCAATGTTGCAAACTGACCAGTGAGACCTCTCCCAGAAAATTGTACAGCTCAATATTAGTGCAAACTAGATAGACAGTAATGAGTAATTGTAAACAAACATTAAAAATACTCATTGCAGATACATTTTCATTCAGTGACTGTGTCCAAGTTATGAAAAATACGCATGAATTTAGCATAATAATAACGAAATCCAACAATTATATACTATAGCCCATTTGCAGATAGTTGAAGTCTTTCTTGATTGCATAACAAAATAATGTGTTAATGAAAACTATTAGTAAGAAATAGCTTTAGGTGCACTTATGTAAGGAATTCTCTTTTCAATAATACAAAAACCAAGTGCACCTTTACATGAAAATATGATCTTTGGCCGACTCTAACCAGCAAGGGCACGAATTTTTCCAAAGTATTTTTTCACAACAGAGGAATGTCTTCAGGAGAATGGGCCTGAAATTAAATAAGCAAATACTTGATTTAATAAAGTTAGATATAATTACAGGTAAACAAAATAATAGCACATAATAAATGCTTAAAATTTCTCAACTAAATAAGTCTTCATTTTCAACATATCACAAGTGCTTGATACCTTCTTATCAATCACCAACAATTTACACATAAATTCATTCACTTTTCCTTGAGCTTCTAAGAAATAATCACAAACAAATCCTAAAACACTTCTCCAATGTTTTTACAGAAATATATCCCACAATTACCCATGACATCATTTTTGTCTAACCTCGGACATTTGTTTACTAGACTTTTTAATGTCATGGCATTTTTCATTTTATCTTAGTATAAGTGCATTAATCATGTCAGGTGATACCACAAATAAAAATAAGCCTTCACTTTGTAGCCCTTGTTCAAGCTTTCATTTAATATCATACTGCAACTTATCTCACTCTATCTCATTCAAATTTAATTATAAATTACATACTTGAATAATTACAAGCTAATATGAACAAAACCAACAAAAGAGCCTGAAGGGGCAATTTTATCTATAACCATCAACCAATACCTGCAGGGCGGATCAACCATTATATAGAACTTAGTCACATTAATACACCGTTAAGCGACTTTTCTAGGGGGTCCAGGAACATGTCCCCCCCGGTAAAATTTTATAATTGTATTGCGAAAAACGCTATTTCCTGCGTTTTTGCAGTTGGTCTTCTAAAATATTTATTACTGGAATGAGCTAACATTCTTGCTCATAAATTATCGATTTTTGACCGTTTCGCTCAATATCAGAGCTCATCAGCATGCCTAGGAAACTAGAAAAATACCTTGAGGGCTTCCGACATGGACGGCCTGGTTCATTACAAACTTAGCCTAAAAAAATTCTTTACGCTTCATCAATATGGAATTTCATTTTATAATGGTCTAGTCATACCTATATGCTGATTATTATGCAAACGATTTTATGTCAATTTATCAAATGAAGTTGTCAATAAAAAAAAAAAAAATGTTTGTAGATTTCGATCGTCCAGGTAAGTAAAGTCCATAGAACGTTATTGTGTTTATATTGACTGAGGTTAGCGGCAGTCATCTTTACAGTCAAGAGTTTAAAAGGCATGAAGAACTTTCACTCCGAACTAGAAAGCTAGTTCAATTCTTCTTTGTCTTTTGCAAAAGATCTATAATTTTTCTATATCTAGATTAATGTCCTGATGAATATACAATAAAGCAAGACCATTTAACCTGTCAGCAGCCATAGTACTTCTTGTATATTCTTTAGTCTTCGCATAGAAACAGAGAACGACCTCTCCCACTCACAAGAAGTGACTGGAATAGTACCTAAGATCTTAACAATACTTTTATGTTCTCAAAACCTGGAAAATTTACCGACTTTAAAGTAGAAGAGACATTTTCAGGAGACAAGTTGTGAGGACGATTCCCAGTATTTCTGCCAGAGATCAAGTTCACCATCTAAAGCCTTTGGATTTGGAAGATCATCCAAGAACAAAGAAGAAAATGAATAAAATTTTTCCTTCAAGAAACGCCACAAGAAAGACACAAAAGTAACTTGGATGGAATTAAAAAAACCATAATATATGCTAGTTGCTGATGAATCAAACCTTTTTCTAACTCAGAACACAAGTGATCAGCTAAAGGAATGGTTATTGTTTTCTTAAAGTAATCAGATACAGATTCAGACGGAACATTACTTCTAATTGCCTGACGACCACAAGTTCTAGGTTTTCTCTTCAACACCCACCTTTTCTGCCATCGTCAATGCAATACTGTACCAGTTAGCATGATAAACATCGACTTCATTTCTTACAGTTCTCGACAATTTTTTTAATGCCTCAATCAAGTTCAAACCGTCAGCAATATCATTACTAGAAGACTGAAGTAACTGAGTAACTGGAAGAGTAAGATCAAAAATACATCTAGTTATTATGAGTGCTGCAATAAAATCAAAAGATGTCAAAAGATGTAACAGAGGGGAAGCTTTACTAGAGGTCTCACGATTACACTTGCCTTCGACGTTAAAACTCATTTCTTCCAAGGAAAAAAACAATAGCAACATACATTTCTTCAAAAGTATCTAAGCTAGTAATACGCTCGACCCATCTTGTCTTACAAGCACTTTTCAATCTCTTTTTTGCAGAATCTGGACAGCGTTCTCCAATGCATTTCTCCAAAATTAGTTGTCTGCATTGGGAAGAGTTGAAAAAGTTAGCAACTTCCTTCGCATGTTCCAAAACATTTCTTACATACTGAACAGCACAAGTCCCACAAATACTAAGATTTAATCTGTGACTGAAACAATGTGTGTAAATGGCTTTCTCATTCAAATTCTTAATCCTTGCAGCAAGACCATTAATGCATCCAGCAACAGCACCTGCGCCATCATACCCCTGCACGACAGTCCTGAATGTTCAAATTCAACTCTTCGTTTAAACATTTCAAAATCACAGATGCAGGTCCTTCCCAGACATACCCTCACTACAATGAATGAAACGAAAAATCTTCTCTTATGTTGAACTCCTCGTCAACAAAACGCAAAACCAAAGACATCTGTTCTTTATTAGAAATATCACATGTTTCGTCTGCAATCAATGCATAAAACTTGCTCTTTTTTACTTCAACTAGAAGCTGTTCAGTGATGAATTGACCACAACACCTAATTAACTCATTCTGAGTAGTTTTAGAGATGTAGGAGGCATTTTTATCATGATGCTTAAGATGGGATTCCAAAATGGTGTCCCCTGCACGAACACGGAAGTTTAATAATTCAATAAAATTACCAACATGCTTTTCAGAATATTCACCAACTTCAGGATGATACTGAGAATCATCCGATGACCTCTAAGTGGTAATTGAGGCTGACCTGCAAGAATGATGGTATCAACTACTGGAACTAATTTTTCCTATTCTCTGAAATCTTTTTCTTTAAGTTACTGTCAATCATGACATTTATTGGCTGGCTTTACGGAACTCTGATCCAAGATATCCTTAAGAAGAGCAGAGTGTGAACATGAAGACCTGATGATGTACTTATATGCCTTTTATTGCACTTTTAGCATCAGGCCAATGTGTTAATGGCTCTGAAAAAATATTTAATTCGACTGTTTTGGAAACCTATCACCAAACAAAACACATGGTAAGCAAAAGCACCATTAAGACTTGGAGAATACGAAGCCAAAGATAATCCTTCAGCCAATCATGTCGAAAGGACCTATAGACCATTTGCATCAACAGTTTTAGGAAATTCATAGCATTCATCAGGTACAGAATACATTCTTCCAAAGTTTTTCAATTTCATGAATTTCCATACCTCTCACCTTTTCTCTATAAAAACCAACATCATATGGATTTCTAGGCAAATCAGCATTTGCAGTTTTATTATCTGGTAATTGCAAGGTAGAAGATGAAATAAAAGAAGCATCACAAGAACCCAAAGCACTACTGTGAGATATACCATATGGAAGAGCCTTAGTTGTCATGGTTGTCTCAGTAGGACCAGAAGGTGTAAACCTCAACTTTGTTTGTATACTGGGCTTTTTAGCTTGTGACAAGTGACTACTTCCCTTTCTTTTAGTTCCCTTCCCACCAAGTATCAAAGGCACATAGTGATTGTGTTTGAATGCAGTTGCTTGAGGGCTGAGCCTTCAAAGCAAAACAAAACTTCAAAATAATTACTAGTGGAAGCACAAGCTCTAGATCGAATTAGAGGTTCAATTCTTTGGTTAAATAATAAATTCCACCTATAAGCACTAGAGTATATGTCAGGATAGTAAGAAAAAATGCTACAGGATGTAACTGAAGAGAGTGCCAACAAACAAACAAACCCAGTCCATGCCATATCTTTTGCATTTAACACAGCTTCTGCCCTGACCAGTTCAGCAACAGAACAACCACTTCCAGCACTATCAATAGCTTCAAAAGAGACTGACATGGCCACCATGCTTGAGATGGAATCAAAGTGTTTGTTATGCTGAGTTTCAAAAAGATTTGAAAAACATGGATGTTTCGCATAATAATCAGCATATAAAAATAATTCTATAGAGGTCATCAGCCTCAAAATAGTCACCACAGAGTTGTCACCAACAAGCGGAATTGACAATGAACTATATAGGCAGTTGCCATTTGTAGCAGATCTGAAATAATGTTATGTAAATTTCAAATATTATGCTTCAGTTCATTTTTGTATATCTTATCTTAAGTATACATCAAGAAATAAATCAATAGAAACGTTTTAAATATGATCGAAATTCGAAAATTTGTTTTGTTTTGAATCACATAAATAAACCACAAATGACAAATCCATCGGGCATCACATCAAGTCAATTTATATTTGCTTATATATTCTTGTGTAAGCATGCATGCATAACATGGCATAAGTTTTCTAACCTTAAGGCAACCAAATTTGTGTCCTTTGTCTTGGCACTCTGCGGTATGTAAAATTCGGCATTGATATTTCGGAAAATATCAACACCGAGACGATCCAACAAATTATCGTTGGTAACAATGCTGTTGACTTTCAGGCAATCCAACATCTCTCCGTAGAGTTGAGCCATAAAAGTCCCATCTTTCCTCGTAAAAGCATCTTCGACTCGATCAGTGAAAGATGCCATGCTTCTCATTAAAATCGTTGGTTTTGAAGCTCAAAAGATAAAATCTCAGCTATCAACAATCTCAATCTGTGCTGAATTTCGCACAACACCGCTTTAACATTTCAGCAAAAACGGCGGCTCGTTAGTCAGCACAACGGCAATAAACCAATCAAGAGACAGATTTTAGTCTCCAAATTCAGCACAATTTAAGGCGTGCTGACTCTGTGCGGGTTAGCTATGGGTATTTTTCCCGCAAGTGAAATATAATTTATTTTAGCCACTTGATCCCTTAATCCCAATCTTAATCCAGGTCTTGGAAACAATAACATTGCTCAGTGAATGTACGTTGTTGCACAATTTTCTCATAATACTATCCCTAACCCTGTCAAT